GGGGGTTCTGGATCAAATATGGGACATCTATACAATTGGACATTCTACAGCTGTTCCAATAATGACGTGGATCAATGTTTATTGACATGGAATGATTATCTTGTTATCTTATTAAGCAAATAAGTGATTATGTAACCGTGTGTATGGCATGACACACTTTGGTGAAGGCAGGCAGGCATATATTTGTTGTGTGTATGCATAAAACCTGGGTCATTGACTTATGTTTATCATCTGTGACCTGCTACCTGGTCCCCAGACACAGGACCAGCTCCAGGAGAGCCTGGATTTGTCTCTTTTGTTCCTTGGGGGCTTTGGTAAATAGTAGGTGCCTAATTATTGAGTCCTGAATTAACGAATGAGCTACAAACCAGCAAATGGTTTTCCTTTACAAAGACTTCATTCGATCGTCACCCTTCCGATATCCAAAAGTGGCATGGGTGAGATGGGGCTGGCAGGCCTGGCAGGGACAGGTGGGACAAAAGATGGCCCTCGCCCTTTCTAGATTTCTGCTCCCTCCATTCTGTGCTGAGGTGCAGTCTTGCTGAGCCCTAAAGTAGCATCGCCCCCTGCTGGGGAGTTTGGAGAACTTCAGGACAGAAGCTCAGCAGTTGCCACCCCAACTCCCCCCACCCTCTTACCTCTAAGCAATTAGACTGGACATTTGGGAAGGACCGAAGTGGAAAGGTCATGGGGATGCATGTCCTTCTTCCAGGAAGCCAGATGTGGGGGCGTTTTCAGGCTGAAAGAGGAGCGAAGGAGGAGATGGAGCTCACTCTGAGCTGCGGGGTCTGCAGGCGGTCTCGCTCTAGCTGCGGATGGATTTTTCCTGTCGAGAGATTTGACCTTCATAGAAATCAGCTGCAAGTCAAAACCAATTCCCCAGGGATTTTTTTTTTTAACTTCTGTTTTTTGTTTTAACTTCTGGTTTCTTTCACATCATTTATCCGATCCTCCCCACAAAACTAGAATTTGAAACGCAGTTTTTACCCAGACTCTTAAACAAATRTGCAAATTCAGTTGCAGATCATTTGTAGATTCAGCAATTTTACTGAGCATTTACTATGTGCCCCGCATGGATCTAGGTGCTGGGATACAATAGGGAAAAGACACAAAAATCTCAGCCAGCATTGGAGCTGTTGTTCTAGTGGGGAACACAGGTAGGGGGCCTAGCAAGGGCATGAATGCAAAACTTTAATTTGAAACTGGTAAGTGCTCAGAAAGAAAGGAAAAGAATATTACAAAAAAGTAACAGAACAGACTTCAATCAGGGGAGTCCATTTAATCCAAATTCTTTTAGCCTGGGACAATCCAGTGGGGAGGAAGTACAGCGAGAGAGAAGCTGGAAGTTTTGAAGCTTTTCGTTTTAGTGAATTGTCTTCCCAGAGAGAAGTGATATGTCCATTAGAACCTAGGGGGCTAAAATCAAGAGTCCCAGTTCCAGTTCTGAGTCTGCCCACTTCCTTGATTTGTCCCATAGTTATTCTGAGGATTTACAATAGCCTAGTATAGTGGCTGTTTATGAAGTAATTATTCAATACATGGTAATTATTACTTTAAGGTTTCTGAGAAGTTTTGCAACTGAAGAATCTTTTGAACTAGACTCACTCTGTGGCTATGGGAACTTCTTGCAGAACATTTTGTGTTTTTTCATATATAAATTTGGGAAATATTGTTTTAGCTGGGCAGTGTGGCGGGGAATCGAGCAGACATTATTTGTCACCTACCCCAAATCCATCTGCCATCTTTTTTCCTTGCTAACAGAATTCTGATTCTGTTCAGGATTTGGCCAGAGTTTTTGATCTCAAAGAAGATAGACCAGGCTTAGTGTGGGTGTGGGTACCTTACATTGTTATGGCCAGTAATATGAATGGAGAGCCTCCCAGGGGCTTCACCAAGAAGATAGTTTCCTCCCAGATAAGAAGTAGATGTGTATGTAAAGAAACATTCTCCCTCCTGGCCACCCTGCCTCCTGCATCCAACATGGAGGTGTGAAGCTGTGGCATTTGGATCTGTGGCCACCATCTTGGGAGTGTGAAGAAAATGTCAGTAAAATCACAGAAACAGTCGCAGGATCCCCGATGGTGTCCAGCGACTGAGCAGCCCTGGGACTGCCTATTCCCAAACTCCTTGTTATAAGAGAACAACAACCCCCTGCAGGTGTGGGATTCTGCCTGTGGTTTTCTGACACCCGCAGCCCAACCCACTTCTCAATGACCAGGGTCTCAGCTCTCTGCTCAGAATTGAAGTCAGCCTGGTTTTCTCAACTTCTCTGAATGCGCCCTAGTTCACCTTGAGGACAGCCTCTGGGCATCGTACCCATGGCCTGCCCTGGGGCCAGTTCCCATTGGAACCATGACTCACCTCAGAGGCCCTAGTTGGCCRCACACCTTCAGTCCACAGCAGGCTCCTAATCCCCCCTCTTTGTCTTTCTCTCTGTCCTATCTATTTTTGTCCTTTGTGAAATGCCCTGGCCCCCAACTAGGATGCAGAGGTATTARCACACCCTCCCCCTGATCCCTCAGGCTCCTGATCCCTTGATCAGAGTCACCCAGGAGAATAAGGCCCACTTAGTTTTTTTTTCTGTGTGGCTTTTCTGGGGGAAACAGAACTGCTCCATTGTTCCATTTGCTTCAACCCAGAAATCCTCTCCTATTCTCCTCAACACACATGGGCCAAGAACTTGCTTTCTGTCTCAGGTCTCGGAGGACAYCTGCAAAGGAAGAATGACAGACACGTGGCCTAGGTGGCACTACCCCTGAACCCAGCACCACGGCAGACATTGCTAATCGACAGCAGCACTCCTCTCATTGAGCCTAGTTGGAGTTGGCAGAAGAGTGAGCAGATTTCCTTGACCTCTGTGACAGGGTTGGGGGTGAGAGATAAAGAGGGAAGCCCATACTCCAGAAGGTTCCCCTGAGCCATCACCTTGTGGCTCTCTTGGCCAGTCTGAGGGGGCCAGGCTGGCTTGCAGAGCCTTGGGGAGTCTGTGGTGCCTATGACAGGGGTGTTGACAACAGCCCCAAGGATGGCCTAGGACCTTATCCAGATCCTGGACTCATCCTGGACCATCATGTCTGGAGTCATTGCTCAGGAGAGACACCAGGGATGTGGTTGACATCCTCTAAGGCAAGGAGAGCCCCGCCATGGGGAGTGGCCAGCCCTGATGTCGGCAGTGGCGGGGGGTGTCGAGCACACCAGGGCGGGAGAAGCCCTGGTGTGGACGGGGCTGCASGACAGGCAGGTGGAGGCTCTCTCCCTCAGGGAGCCAGCAGCCATTGCAAGTACAGGAAGTGGCTTTTATAAAGGTCCCCCTGGCAATGGACTGCAGAGGGTCAACAGTGGCAATTCTTGGGGTCACCCAGGTGAGCTGGTACAGGGGCCTGGACAGGAGTGGCTGCGCATTGACTGCAGGCCTGAGCTCAGGGACAATTCAAGATTCCACATGAATTCAAGGGAGGACGCTTGAACCTCCAACTCGGATTGCACACCCCATGGTCCTCACTCCTTGGGGCTTGGGTTCTGACCCAACCGATTTTGTAGTTGAAAAGAGAAAGGTTCACCTAGAAAAAGCCACTAACCATCCCCACCCAAGCCCCAAGTGGCAGGGGTGGCATCTCCCCCACCGGCCTGTCTCCACACACACACACCCTTGCCCACAGCCCTGGCCAGGGGACGMAGAGTAGGTGGGCTCCTGCACCCCTGGCCTCCCCCAGCCTCCTCACTGTCAGACACCCACTCTCCTGTCCCAGGAGCCGTTCTCTAGGTCAGTGGCTCCCAAACCACATTAGTCCACTCCCCAGGGACGGTTGGCAAGGTCTGGAGACGTTTCTGGCTGTCACAGTTTGGGAGGGGGCTTGCTCTTGGCAGCTACTGGGCGGAGAACAAGGACACCCTRGACATTCCGTGACACACAGGACACCCCCGCCTCCTGCCAGAACCAAGAAGGAGCTGGTCCCACACGTCCCCAGGGCGAGGCTGTGGCCACCACTCCTGAGTTCAAGCCCATGAAGGCTGCAAGGGCGGGAGGGGCCTGCCCAGCCCTGCACGGCTGGGTGTTGCTGAAGAAGYACTTGAAGGTCCTTCACCCGAGGACCCCAGGTCAGCGGCCTGAGMAGCCAGCAGCGCAGCCTTTATATAGCTCCAGACCCGGCATGAGGACCATCCGGCTGTCACCATGCCACGTTCTTCAGCAGAGGGGCTCAGGCTGCCGGCCACAGCTGTCTCTGGAATCCGGGCCTCGTGGAGGGTAACAATGGCCAGGAATGCCACTAAGACAGCTGGGYGCGGGCATCTGAAGGGCAGCAGTAAAAACGATATTGTCTGGGAGCCTCTGCCCACTGCAGGCAGGCAGGTGACCCAGGGCTAAAAATACGAGGGAAGAAAAAGCCAGTAGCAGTCCACTGGCAGCCAGGGGTAGATCTTGCTCTGGGTGAGGGGTGGGTGAGAGCTGGGGCTGGGTCCCTGGGCCCCAAGGAACACCAGAGTGAGGATGGTGGTGGTGGTAGGGACTGAGTTCGAATCCCAGCGCTGCCCGGTGCTGGCAGTGGGGCTGTGTGACTGTGACTGCTCTGCTCGGAGCCTTCTTTATCTGCAAAATGGGTCTAGCGTCAGCGCCTGCCTTAACTTAGTGCTTCTATGAAAATTAAATAAGCCAGGCTCAGCCCCGAGCGCAGTGCCTGACCCAATGTGCTTCCGGCTAGAGGGGCGAGGATGGTTTCTTTGGGGACCTGTTTGGTGAGTTCACCGTGCAGTGGCTGTGTGGTCACTGTGGGGACAGGCCTGCTTTCCTCAGACCTTGGCACTCACCCCAAGGACCGGCTCAAGCTGTAATATCCCCTGTAGGACTCAGTACATGTCCCCTGGAACTCAGTTAGCCCTGAGCCCCTCCCTGTCCCTAGGAGCTCTGCAGCAGGGGCCTGCAGCGGGGAGGAGGYTGGGAAGGCCATGACCACACGCAATAACCGCCACACGCCTCCTATCACACAGCATGGACGCAGTGCCTGGCACTGTGCAGCCACTGACACTCCCTGCGTGAGTGACCACGGGGACCATGCTGTGAACAGTGCCGGGYAGAGTAAGTGGGTCTGCTGTGACATCGGTCTTCCAAGGCTAGGGCTGCTGCGACTGAGGAATCTGAGGTTTAAGGTAGGTAAGGAATTTGTCCAGGTCCCTGCCACCAAGGAAGTGAAAGAGCTGACCTAGAACCCAGCTGTCAATCACCATGCCATTCTAGCAGATCAGGGTCAAGTGTAAGATTTTAACTTTCAGGCCAAGGAGGAGACTTCCTCCTGGGCCAGTGGGGAGCCATGGAAGGTTCCGGAGTCATCSTCAGAGGGGGCATCAGAGTGGGGCATGCAGGAAGGACTAGGGGTGGAAAGGCAGGAAAGGGCAGACCCCAGACTGGGAGCTCCCACCCTAGGGGGGGCAACAGATTTGCAAGACATTGTAGGGGCCTCCGGTGAGGCAGAATTGAGATGCCGGAGGACTTTGGTTTGGGAATGGAAACCTAAGAGAGGGGCAAAGTCATTGTAATAAAAGAACTTGGGAAAAGAGAGAAAAAATGAATTAGTATCTGAACATGTTATTTCCTCTACCCGCAGCCCCTCGGCRAGGGTCCCAGCCAGTGCCCTGGAGTAAGAGCGGACGTTCACTGAACAAGGCCATGCCCAGAGGATTCTAGAACTTCAAAGGTATTAATCAGCTCACTCTGGTTCTTTGAGGCAAGGCCCACTGGGTGTCCACTTTGTAAATGAGGAAGCCGCGGTTCGGAGGCCGAAGTTGCCCACCCACTCTGCACCCAGGCCGCCCGTTGACCACCCACCCCCCCCCAGCCCATCTCTGGTGGTCGTGCCCGTCTGGCTGGCAGGAGAGGATGCCCTCCCCACTGGTGCTCTCCCTGACGGCCAGGGGCCCTGACATGAGGAGATAGGCTATCACTTGGTGACAGAGTCGTCACCCAGCAGCTTTGGGCTGGCAGGGCCTGGTATGCCTTTGTTCTTTGGGAGACAGCTGACTTCACCACCGTCCTTAAAGGGACACGGGCCTCAAGGCACATTGTCTCCAGAGGCTGCCGAGTCCCTGTGCCTGGCTGTCTCAAAAGCAGTGTGGTCCTAGGTAACCCTCCTCTCTTTAGCTCTGCTGGATGCTCATCAGTCACATGGAGAAGGGTCCCTTTTCCCTGAGAGTGTGGAATGTAATGACGACATTCTGGGAACTAACGTGGAAAAAGTACCTGCAAAGGGCATGAATTAAAATATGCCCCCAGCACGGCCTTAAAACCTTCAGAGGCCCCAGGGCTCAAAAAGGGGGGTTCCCACCCACCAGCACTGAAGGAAAGCCAGCCTCAGCAATAGTGAGGCACTAAGCAACTCAGTGAGACCCTATTTCTAAATAAAATACAAAATAGGGCTGGGGATGTGGCTCGGTGGTTGAGTGTCCCTGATTCGATCCCAAATTCTGAAAAAAAAAAAAAAAATCTATTGCTCTTAGCACCTTTTCAGCTGTTGCTTGAGCGCGTATCAAGTGAGCTAGCTTCACAGCCCCCCCTTGGCCCTGTGGCTGCCACCAGGGAGGGGAGCCAGGAACTGCCAGGAAGGTGGCCAAGGCCCATCCAGGGGTGGAAAGACCCAGGGGCAGGTGGTATGTGTGCATTTGTGCTCAGGTGTGTGATGTGACACTGTTGGAGTGAGATGGTGTCTGTGTACGTGGTGTGACACCATCAGTGTGAAAAGAAGTCTACTTGTGTACACAGATATGTGTGTGTGTGTGTGTGTGTGTGKGAGAGAGAGAGAGAGAGAGAGAGAGAGAGAGAGAGAGAGAGAGAGAGAGATCTAGAAGGCCAAGTCCAACGCGCTATCCTGGATTAGATCCTGGAACAGAAAAAGGACAAGAGGGGAGGCCGATGTCAGGCCCAGGGTAACGGAGAATTCTGTGGCTTCTCTGTAAATTCAGACATCAAAACTTCATTCACAGCTGGCCGGGACTCAGCTGACTTGGCTTGTTCAATAACAAAGCCCTGAGCTACAGGAAAGGAGCATCAAAACTAAACGCTCCTCCTGTCCCCATGCTAGCAGGGGACCAGGACTTCCAGCCTGCGGTAGGAACTCTCAGTTCTCCCTGTCACGGCCTCTTGAGTTTTCCCCGGGACCGTGTTCCCCCTGCCCTCAGGTCTGTCCCATGCTCTCCTGATCCTGGGGTATGTGGATGCTGCCAGGACTGACCCTGGCCTGGGTTTTCTGACTTTCTCCAGCGTGCAGCTCAGGGCGTTTCCATCCACCACCTCACCCTCTGTGAAGAGCGTGTCCCCGAGTCCCTGCTCATCTTAGGCTTCTGCATCTGGGGTGTTTGTCGTTGGCATCTCGTCATGATTTTCCTTAGCTTTCAACAGACACAAACCCGCCCTCTAACTCACCCACTTAATTTTTAGTGTAGAAAGCAGAACTTGAAGTTCCAAGATGTTTTCACAGGCTGGTTGGTTTTGATTTTCTTTTTTTTTTTTTTCATTTTACTTTCTGGAATTATCCAACTCTTTGGCTTTTAAAGATAATGACATTAACGCRCTGCTGCCTTCTCTCACAATGTGAGGCCACTCTGTGCCTCTCCCCTGACTTAGCCCACTCTGTGTTGCTCTAACATGACGCCCGAATCGAGTAATTTATAAAGAGACGTGTGCCTTACACTGCTGGAGGCATCTCCTGGTCTCTTCCTTTAAATTTGCCAAAGAATAATTTTTGCAAATTATCATTCAGTAAAAGTGACCTTTYGGGGTTGTGGCTCAGTGAGTGGCAGAGCGCTCCCCTAGCACATGCGAGGTCCCGGACTCGATCCACAGGACCACATAAAAATAAATAAAATAAAGGTATTGTGTCCAACTACACCTAAAWAATAAACATTAAAACATTRACCTTTTTGGGCGGGTGGGGCTTGGGGTTGGTTCTTGTTTTTGTGGGAGCGAGTGTGTGTGCACCCACATCCATGMCTTTCTATACACTCGATCTTTGTCATCGTAGTTGACATTGCTCACTGTTGACCTGTTTCCCATTCCTCTTAGCACTGATGCCCAGGTCCTAAGCCCTGAGAATGTGACCCTCCATGGCACAGGACTTTGCAGATGTGATGGATGAGGCCAGGACCTGAAAGTGGGGGTCATCCTGGATGACCCAGGTGGGCCCGACGCAGTCACAGGGGTCCTTAGGAGAGGGAGGGAAGAGGGCCAGCCACAGAGAGGTTGGCTTCCGAGGCTAGAATGATGCAGACCACRAGCCAGGGAATGTGGGGGTTTCTGGGAGCTGGAGAAGACAAGGGAAGGACTCCCCACCAGAGCCACAGAGGGGGTGGCGCCCACAGGCCCTTTTCTAGTTGTGACTCCCAGTGCCACAAGATAACAGATACRTGCTGTATGAAGCCACCACGTCTGGCGACATTTTCACTACAGCAATCGGTCACAATACACTTGGTTTGTTTTCTGATTGTTCTACAAGTTCCTGTTCTGGTGGCTCAGGCCAGGGTTCTCTCTGGCTTCTGAGAGCCTCAGTGTTTTTTGGGGGGGCTCAGCTGGACTCCGGAATGGTTGCAGGAATCTTGTTGGCTTTCGGAGTCCCACAGGCAGCCAGCAGGCAGGGGTCCAGCCCTGAGGGCCTGTGGTCAAGAGGGGAGGTGCTCAGGCCTCGCCAGCCCGGAGGGCAGGGATGCCCCCCGCTGCCCACTTTGCTCCTTYCTCCCCCCTGTGGATCCCAAGCACAGCAGACATGTGGCCCGGTGCCCTGGTCAGGCTTCGGTATTCCCAGAATCCCCTGAGGCAACCCCACTTCTCCTAGCTGCAGCTTTGAGGGGGCCATTGTGGTCTTCATGTTCCAACCGGACACAGAGGCCCAGAGGTCCAGCGCCCTGTCGAGGACTCCGCATCTCCCACTCTCCAGCCGGAGTTCTGCTCTAAGCACCTCTCCACAGGCCCCGTAAGGTAAAATGCCTCCCGAGACAGCCCCGCTGGACAGATGCCCTCAGGGACACACCCAGACACCTGCCCACCTCAGTGGGCCCAAGCCCATCCTCACCCATGTCCAGGGCTCCCCACCTCTCCATCCCTGTGGCTGCAACAACCATTTTTCTTGGCCATTTATAGCTCCTGTGTTTTCACCCAGAGCTTTAACGAAAATCCATGGTGTGCCTATGAGCTGGCGAGACATCCATTCTGGTGCTGGCAGAGAAAAGCTCCTCTGGCTGTGCGTGTGTGTGTGTGTTGGCGTGTGTGAGTGGACCCCGTGTATGTGCCTCTGCAAGTGCACATGGAAGGCCTCACTGAGAAGGGGATGTCTGAGTACAGATGGGAAGGAGGGGAGGGACAGAGCATTGCAGGTAGAGGAGGCGGCACAAGCAAAGCCCCTGAGGTGGGACCAGGGCTAACCATGACAGAGTGTTAGAGAGACTTCCTCTCTCTGCCTTTTTCTCTTCCCAAATTGACAAGCACAAGTGTCGCCTGCCCAAGCGCCACGGAAAGCATGCAGCATCTCTCCCATGACCCAGCCGCTGTCTCTTTAACCTTGAATGCATTTTTGGGTCTCAYGTGTCACCCCATGGCAGTGGCCGCCAGTGAGCTGCCCTGACTTCAGAAGAACGGCATGGGGTGGGGGGGCCTTAGGTGGCGTCCGCTCACCTATCACTGCCAAAAGTGGTCATGGGGTTATTTTTAAACACAGGGAGGAAGTATTTATTGTTCCCAGGCTGGGAAGAGCTGGGCAGTGCGTGGGATTCTACTTGGGAAGTAGCCCTGTGTCCGTCCACCATGGTGAGTACCTCAGATTTCCAGGAGATGATGCTGGGGGCAGGGAGGGCAGGAAGGGGATGCCACTAGCTTCAAGCTGAGGACCAAAGCTGAGAGGGGGAGAGARAGCTCCCACAGACTGTAGCCCCCCCCCATGGAAAGAGCACTGTGCGCCCTGCACGCTCAGAGGGACCCCAGTCAGTGCCCTRAGTGGCCATAGCTGACAGCAGCTCCCAGGAACTCACAGAAACAAAATAAAAGAGTTGGCTTTTTTTATGTCTCGTCTGCTGACCTCTMGAGGAATCAATATCTCCCGGGGCTTGCAAAATGGGATCGAGCGCTCTTAAGGATCAAATTGTAATTCTTTTCTCTGGTTCAGGCAGCTGGGGAAAAGAATCTTTTTGTTTTCACCTTTTGAACTTGCAAACTTAAAACCTTCCCTCCCGTATTGTTGGGCAAGTGTTCCCGTACCAGAAGAGGGAGCCCCCAACTCAGGGCACGGTGGGTCAGTGGTTAGGGGCACAGACTCTTGAGTCAGACTGTCCAAGTTCAACTCAAGCTCTGTCCAAGTTCAACTCAAGACTGTCCAAGTTTAACTCCTTTTTGTGGCTGTACCATCTTGGGCAAGTGACCTAACTCCTCTGAACCTTAGTTGCCTCCCCTGTGAAACAGGGATGTAATAATAGCATCTACTTGACAGAGCAGTTGGGAGAATTAAATGAACTGGTGCATGTGTTGTGTTTAAGCAGTTGCTGTTATTTAAAGTCAGAGAGAAGTGGGATTGGGGTGGGGGGGAGTTAATTCCTTCTTCTCCGAACTGTTGACATGGTACAAGGATGGGACATTTAGGGAGGCGATTTCACTGCCATTTGGATCAAGGGAAAGTTGTGGGGYGGGGAGCAGATGGGTTGTAACGCCCTGGAAGGGCGTCATTTCGTCTCAGCTCTCCTGATGGCTTGGTGAGCCTGACTTTTTCCTTCCCTCCAATTGATTCTCCTCATGTGCTGTCCTGAGGATGGGTGCCACCTGGCTGATCTGCAGGTGTGGCCTCTGTCCCCAGACCAGAGACRCACCTGCCCGACTCTCAGCTTGCAGAGGAGCGGCCACAAGAGCCACGGTCTCTTGCAATAGGCCAGAAACTACTCCCAGGCCTCTCCCCGTCCAGCAGCACCACGAGATGAGTGGGGCCCCTTGTCACGGCAGCCACTGAGCAGGCCCAGCCCTCACCCAGGGTGGCCCGGTTTTCTAATTCCCAGCCTCTGCCTCTTCTAATCGATGCTCTTCTCCCCAGTCGCCTAAGAAAGCCAAGAAGAGGGCAGAGGGGGCCAACTCCAACGTGTTCTCCATGTTTGAACAGACGCAGATCCAGGAGTTTAAGGAGGTGGGTGAGCTGGCCAGGCAAGGCCCTGGGTGGAAATCCCAGCCAGAGTCAGGCCCTCCTGCCTTCCCTGCTCCCAGCAGGGACCTCTCTGTCCTCTGAACATCCAGGTTCAGTGGGAATGTGTGTGGGAACCTTTTAAGGAGGTCTTCTTTAACAACTTCTGCTGATCATCCAGCTAAAACGTATTCCTGGTTGAAAAACTTTTTTTAGAAAAGCACCTTCAATTCTACCACTTGGACATAATCAGTCCCTGAGTCAGGACATAGCCTTGGAGTCATCTTTGTGACGTGTGCATCTACTGATCAAACTTGCACCCCCACAAGTGCCTACATTTTTTTTCCTTTGAGCACTTCAGTGTCAGCATTTTCCTGTGTCTAGTTAAATGACTTCTTGGTGCATTTGTTTGGAATGTTTTATTATCATAAAGATCACCTCATTGCTCCTATCTCTGACGATTTCCTGGGGGGTGAATTCCAGCAGCAGAACCCCCGAGGGGGGGGGTGTGCAAGGAACTTAAAGAAAGAGGGAGGGGGAGGGGGAGGCGAGAGGGGAGGGGGAAGGAGGGGCAGGAGGGAGAGGGAGGAGGGAGGGGGAGGAGGGAGAGAGAGGAGGGGGAGAGAAAGCAAGCAGAGCTGCTGGGACAAACCCCAGTCCAGAATCCTATACTTCGAATCCCTGTCCCCAGGGCCCCAAGAAGAAACTGCCTTTCCCCCACATTTCCATCAATATTGGGTCATTAGGTAGCAAGAGTCAACTTTTTTTCCAACCTGAGAGGGAAAAGCAGCATGTTCTGAGCTTTAAAACCTACAGTCTTTGCAAAATTTGTCCCTTTTAGTTATGTGCACCACCAGGGTGCACCCTGATGTTATCACAAAAGCAGGGAACCCAACCCAGCCCCTTCACCTGGGTCCAGCACCCCCCCACCCCTCTTAATCCATTTAGTTTCTTTTCTTTTTTAATCAGTGTCCCATGTGCCACACCCTCGATGCACATACCCAGCTTCAGTTGGATCCTCCCTCCTCAGTCCCCTTGTCTCCTCCACTGACCTTCCCTCTGTTTTGATGAAATTCCCCGTTTCTTTTTATATACCCCCACCCCCACCCCACCCCCCAGTCTATGTACAGTCTGATGATGGAGCACCAACTCTGTTGGACATGTGGTCCCACGGTGGGGACTACTAAGCAAACCTCAGGACAATTGGGTAGGATGCAGCCACTGCCCACGGGCTGAGAAGGACAGACTGCATTAATGTCCAGCAGCAGTGAGGGCTCACACTGGGCCATCCACACCCCCACCTGGCCCTGGGGAGGGAACATGCTGAGAGACCAGGTTGGGACTCGCAGACAGGAGCATTCAGATTTGCTGGCAGGCCTGTCCCATGGGCCACCAGGAAAAGAAGGATGCAGTGCCACCATCCAGGGGCAAGGCCACCCCCAGCTCTGTCTCCCCACCCTGCCCCACCCTGGGCTGAGGTCAGCTGCTGGAGGGGGGGCACAGCAGGTGCAAATACTTCCAGAAACCAGCTGTAGCAAAGCACTCAAAAAGTGTACCCCGAAGCCCCATTTGTGACATGCCTGAGCGATTACAGAGCTCTGGGCATCTCCCTGGGACCAGCTGGGGAGGTGACCGGCCTACCCTGCTTTACGGATGGCCCGGGCATGGGAGTGGGGAGACCACATGAGACTCCAGGATTTCACCTTAAAAAAAAAAAAAAAAAAAAAACAGCAGTTTCATGGAGGTGTAGTTCACATATCATGATGTTGGCCTCTTCAGGTGAAGGGTGCCATTCGTGGTTTTTTGGTTTTTTTTTTTTAAAGAGAGAGAGAGAGAAAGAATTTTTTAATATTTATTTTTTAGTTTTCAGTGGACACAACATCTTTATTTTATTTTTATGTGGTGCTGAGGATCGAACCCAGCGCCCTTCCTATGCCAGGCGAGCGCACTACAGCTTGAGCCACATCCCCAGCCCTCATTCCATGGTCACTGCTCTCCAATGGCAGGACACTCCCATCACCCTCAAAAGAACCTCCGTCCTGTGAGCAGCCCCTCCCACCGCCTCCCCCAGCCCCGCCAGTGCGTCCACCTGCCCCCTGTCGCTGTGCCTGGGCTGAGTGCAGAAGATCCCAGAAGCCTGGGTGCCCCGACCCTCGGCCCAGCCTCCTGGACTGACCAGCCGGTCCCCTCCCTTCCACAGGCCTTCACCATCATGGACCAGAACAGGGACGGCTTCATCGACAAGAACGATCTGAGGGACACTTTTGCCGCCCTTGGTATGTCACCTGCCAGCCACTGGCAGGTCCCCTGTCCCATAGCCCCGGGGTGGGAGGGGAGACCCTCAGAAAAAGCCAACAGCTTGTCCTTTCCCAAAGAAAGACGGCGCCACAACTGACCTTCAGAGAACTTCAGAGGCGGGGACAGACGCTTTCCCGCACCTTTCAGTTTTCTTAGGAGCAGCTCCGCGCGGCCAGCTCTCGCTAGAAAGCAGACATTCTGCAAAACATACGGGAGAGGACGACGGTCCCCCGAAAGGCCACATTCCGCGTTAACCTTTCCGTTTCTCTCTTCGGAGTCTTTCTAGGCATATCTGTTGTTTTTCTCAAATAACTGGGATCGTTCTATTCTGGACTCAGCTTTATTTAACATCTCGAGGGTGTGATCGGGAGAGCACGGAGCTTCTTTCAAAATATACATGTCCAATCTGCTACCCCCACCCACCGCCACCGATCCCTATCCTCAGAACTCAGGGTCACCGCGAATAGCTACCCCCGCTTTTCATATCTAAAACAGAGACGGTAGCCAGGGGCAGCTTGTTCTTATTTGCATAGGGGGTTATAAAGGCATCAGCAGGACCAAGAGCAGGTGTATCAGAATCTCCGGGACCCACTGAGATCCTGTCTCAAAAAAATAAGGACAGAAAGGGCTGGGGATGCAGCTCAGGGGTAAAGCACCCCTGGTTTCAGTCCCCAGAACCAGCCCAGCCCCCCATGGGCTGTGGGGGTGCGCCTGGCTTTCTGGCCCACGGAGAGCATCTCCCCAGGGAACTCTGGCCTCGTCCTCCCCATTTCTGACTGTCCCTAGAGGAGATTCCTTGAGGCACAATGACAAATGTCAGCCACTGTCCCTCTGCCAGCACTGAGGCCCCATGTCCCCACTGCAGGGCGTGTGAACGTGAAGAACGAGGAAATCGATGAAATGATCAAGGAGGCTCCGGGGCCCATTAACTTCACCGTGTTCCTGACAATGTTTGGGGAGAAACTCAAGGGTAGGCCTGTGCACATGCTCCTCTGTGTGTGTGTGTGTGTGTGTGTGTGTGCGCACGCGCACACATGCATGTGCACATGTGTGTGCCTCTTAGCATGTCTTGGGTTCTGGGTGTCAATTTAAGCACTAGATGGACAGGGCTGGGAGAAAGTGGGCAGCTCCCAAGGACGCACCAGGGAACTGGAGGGAAAACAGGATAGAAATGTCAGCCGTCGTCCCTCCAAGGCTCATGCTAAGCACTTGGGTGCCTTACCTCAATGAGCAGCACCTAGGATGTAAATTTCACTCTTTTCCCCCATCTGTGGGTGGGGAACCTAGGCTCAGAGACAGAAAGTCACTTGCCTGAGGCCACATAGCTAGCAGGGTTCAGAGTCTTTCTGAAACCTAGATCAAACTTGACCTTCAGTTAGCTCAGACACACCTGGCCTCTCAGCCCTCTTTCAAAACCCCAGGCTCAGTGCCCAGAGGAAGGAAGGGTCTCCTCCTAGCTAGGCAAGCAGGCTTGCTCTCGCCCCTCCATCTCAGAAGGGACTTGGGCCTTGTGTCCTGGGTGCCATGGTCCCCAGCCGCCTGCAGCACCTGTGGGCCCTGTTCTCCATTTCAGGGGCGGACCCCGAAGAGACCATCCTCAACGCGTTCAAGGTGTTTGACCCGGAAGGCAAAGGGGTGCTGAAGGCCGACTAGTGAGTGGCTTCCCCTGGGGGCGGGTGGCGCCTGTTCTCCTTGCCCCCACCTGGCACCTACACCTCTGTCCTCTCTCTGCAGCGTGCGGGAGATGCTGACCACACAGGCAGAGAGGTTCTCCAAGGAGGAGGTAGGGTCCCTTCAGACACTCCCTCCCGTCCAGCGCCTGGTCCTCCCAGGGGCTCTGTCTCCACTGAATCACCCGTCCCAGAGAGGGAGGGAGGGAGCCCTGGCCGCATTCATTCTCTCAGACACTCTGCGAGGATCAGGATCATTGTCATTTTATAGATGAGAAAACTGAGGCCTGGGGAAGTAAGTCACTTGTCTAAAATGACAGTGCTAATGGTGAATGCCAGAGCRGGGACCCACACCCAGGCCTGTCTGACTCCAGGTCCTGCCTTCCCCACATGCACTGAGACACGGTGAGAGCGCCCATTTACTGTGCCATGAAGGGCCACCATGGACTGTCGTGCAACTTGAGCACTGATCAACACCCCCCCACAGCACCTTCTTTCCTACAGGCATCCTAGATCAGGCTGTTGTTGCACACATTTCCCAGCAGGTGGCAGTAGTGAGTCCAGAAGAAGGGACACTAGCTAATTTGCCAAAAGGTCCTCAAGGAGCAACTGTCATGTGAACATTAATAAGGAGCCTTAAGGAGTCCATTTAAAGTAGCCACCTTGAGGCCTCTGGGGCCCATGTCCATCCAGTTCCCCATTTTGTTCAAAATTCTATTTACATTTTACCTACAAAACTCAAGCGATGCAAAGAGAGTCCTTCACCTCCCATTGGATGGGAGACCTGGGACAAGCTCCTTAACCTTTGTGCCTCAGTTTCCTTATCCGTAAGGTGGAAACAAGAGTGGAACGAACCTCGAGGTATTCTGTGAGGCTCAAACAGGCAGAAAGGAAAGCTCGGTTCTGTGACTGGGMGGCACCAGCATCAGCTGTATCAAGCGAACCAGTGACCCTTGCTAAGTGGGAAATCTACATGTTTAGGACAGATCTGAATTCCTAGTTTCCTTTGAGGAGTCTGGCTTCTTGCCCTCGCGGCCACCCTCAACCGGCCCAGCTGCACACCCCCACTCAGCCACAGACCCCGCCAGGCGTAGGCTCCCTCATGTGACCCACCTGGCCCCTGAAGGGTCGCTGATCCCTCTGCTCCCCGTGGGGGCTGGGTGTCCAGGAACATCCCAGCAGCTCGTCCACTTGAGGGGCTGGGGTCAGCACCTGAGGAGGGAGGAAGGTGTGGAGCTGAGATTCAGGGTCAGCGAGGGTCTCTGCCTGGGACCTCCCTACCCAGCTCCAGCCCCTCTGTCTTGTTCAGCATCTTGCTGGTGTTTGCAGATCGACCAGATGTTCACGGCCTTCCCCCCTGACGTGACGGGCAACCTGGACTACAAGAACCTGGTGCACATCATCACCCATGGGGAGGAGAAGGACTGAAGCAGGCCAGCCACCTGGGCTCCCGGTCTCCTTCCCAGTCAGCCTCTACCCTGTCTGGCCTCCACCCTGCCCKGCCTCCATCTCCGTCTGGGTACTTACAGATGACCACGTGGCCACACAGCCTGCAGCTGGAAATCCATCCCGAGGCCAAGTTCAAATAAACAGGAGCTTGTGTGCTGGTCATGACGTTCCTCAGACAGAAGCGCCTTGGGAAAGGAGGGCCCTTTGCTGATCTGCACAAAGGCGGCATATGAGCTAGTGCTGACCCTTTTGTCCTTATCTTGAATCTTAATGACTCTTTGAGATAGACCTTTGCATTCACTTAGGACTGTCCCAATCAAGGGCCTATTAACTGGATACCACAGCCCTTGCTTCCCAACAGCTCAAGTGTTCATAGACACCCTTCCTTTGGGAACKCCATGGGGATCGTCTCCCAGAGGCTGCGATGGGCCCCGTGAGAGTGAAGAGGGCTAAGAACATGGCTCACCAGGCAAAAATTGTGCCTGTTAACCATAAGAGGGCCATTTCAGGTCAGATAAAGTACAAGTTGTACTTCTCTCCTAGCAAATTGGGGGAGGGGGGCTGATCTCTGCTTCTATCTGGGGCCCAGGCCTGTGCTTGAGTTGACTCATGTTGAAGCACTCAGGTCTATTATGGCTGCAAGAATCCAAACTTAAGAATCAACTGGGTTCACAAAACCAGTAAGTCCAAGGACTTCAGGCACAGCTGCCTCCAGGAACTCAAACAATGCACCCAACCCTGCGGCGGCCTCCCCACAGCTCTTTCTTGTAGGTTGCTCTGCTCTCAGTGATGGCAAAATGGCTCTCAGCAGCTCCCAGCTCTTCTACCCACTCGGCAAACCTCTGTCTTCCCAGCCTCACACAAGTACCGACTAGGTCTTCCTGGGGTCTTCTCTGGGGTACCTGATCCAACCCTGAGCTAACTGCTGGGATTGGCCAGTGCAGTGCTCTGATTGGCAGGCCTGGGTCACCTGATCAGTCCCCTGCCCTCGTGGCTTGAAGATGGGGGGACAACTTCCCCAGGGACCACAGAGGAGAAGGGAAGGGGGTTCCCAGGGAATCCCCAAGAATCGGGACAAGGCCCGGGTGAATGGTGACAAAGCAACAAAGATCCCCGCTTGTGAGACAGTGGARCTGGGGACACGTGCAGGGAACAAAGGGTCCCAGAGGCTGGAGGAGCCAGGTGGGACTGTCCCTGCAGCCCCTGATGTCACCCTGGATGCTGGGAGCTGGGGCCACATCCAGTGCTGGGGGCGGGGGGGGGGGGCAGGACCCAGGGCATTCAGGGCCTGTGTCAGCCCACACCCTGCCACAGTGTGTCCCCCATGACCTCCCAGTCCTTCCAGAGACCCTGTGCTGGGCCCCTGCAGGGACAGGCAGCCCCAGTGGCTCAGCTCACCCAGGAAGGCAGAGGGTGGCTCAGGCAGGACACCCGGGATGGGGCTGTGAAGTGACAGCTGACCGGGGAGAGGGACAGAGAGGTGTGCACACGGGCGCACAGCCCCCGACATGGGCACGCAGCCCCAGGAATGGAGACGCACGGGCCACACACAGGCCCGCCCCCTGCTGCGCCTCTGGCCACCTGCTTGAAGGTCCACGGCAGCGCTGACCCCGGTCCCTCTCCTGCGGCGGCCCTGGGACCCGGCCTTCTCACCCCCACCTGCCCGGGCCCAGTGCCCGCTCCCTCAGCAGCCGAGAAGGAGAAGGCACCGAGGCACCGAGGCACTGAGGTTAGGAACAAAACCTTTATTCTTTCGGTTGGTCTCGCCGGCCTCGGGTTTCGCTGGGTGAGGCTGTGGGCCTGCCAACTTCCTTCTGGGCATAATTGTCCAGCACCAGCTGCCTCAGGCTGCCATGGTCCAGGGGCTGCTCCACTGCAGAGGGGGAACACTTATGAGCAGGTGGCTCTGCCCTGCTCACCGGCACCTGAGGCAAGGAGACCCGAGCCTGGCCAGGTCCCTGTACAACACTGGGGGGTGGGGCGTGAGAATCCTCAGGGCTGGGAAGGGGACCACTGGGCAGAGGTTGCTTCCAGGGATGTCCAGACAATCACTGTTTCTCCTCCCGGATAAGAATGTCAAGGGTGTTTGGTTAATATCAAGGAGATAAGGCTGTGATGTGCAGTTGTTCAGGATATGCACTGCACAAAGAGGCCAGGGGTGAGTGGAGGGGCTGAAAGTCAACTCCTATTTGATTGCCAAGTCATGTCTATTCAGCAGGGCACCTTTCCCAAATTAACCTGCCCACAAGTGGCACCCCTTCTAATCCACACCCATGGTGCAGCCACACTCCCTTGGACAGAAGAGAAGACCTCGTCTGTGAGTCCCTGACAGTGCACTGAGGAGGAGGGATGGAAACACCAGCCTCAGCAACTCAGCTGGCCCCTGTCTCAAAATATGTAAAGGGCTGGAGGAGGAGCTCAGTGGTAGAGCGCCCCTGGGTCCAAACCCCGCCCCCYGCACCAAACAGACAGAATTGTTAAACTTAGATGCAAAGCGCTCCACAACCCACCACCAGAGACACTCCACACTCCCAAGGTGGCCCACCGGCTTTGATGACCTAGAGGCCTCCCTCC